TTACGAAAACCGGGGGAGTGGTGTTCGCCGGAGATGAATATGGGGAGGAGGTGGGATGGAGGCTGAGCAAAGAGACGGAGGGGAGTGTGCTAAAATGGCGAATCGGAGGCCAAATTTGGTTAAGTTATTATCCAAATGAGATGAAAATTCCTTACTTTGAAACTAGGTTTGTGGAGTGGTGTGATGAGGTTGATTTGCCTCTAATTCCCCCCACCAAATGATCCAAAAAAAACATCAAGGATAGTATTGTAATTATACTATATTGTATATTGGTTTAGATCCTATCTCCATTCCAATGAACTTATTAAATATTTTGTCCCAGCTCAGCTGGACAAGATTTTAGATATTGATATTGATAACAATGTTGATGTTGGTGGATATTTTTGTGAAAATTAGAAAAATTAAAAAATCGTAAAAAGTATTTAAATTAACAAATAAATATTTTTCTATTTTTAAATAAGTTCAAAATGATTTATATTAATACTATGTATATATTAGTGACATTTTGTTGATATTTTTCATATTTTGTCGATTCTTTTTGTAGTATGATGTAAATATCGATAGACCCCTCATGTCGATATTCAACTCGTCAATTTATGAAAATATCGATGGACATGTCAACGTATCGACGGATATTTAGTATCATGAAATTCGACCGTTATACTTTATTGTCTATCCCTACTAATCTTTGACGGGAGGCTTTGTCTACTTCAAAACCAAGTACTTTTGAAGGGTTTAAATTGAAGATTTTGGAGGGAATCTCGAGATATCCATAGCTTTAATTAAAACTTTGTCATATAATTTTGATATTGTATGCAATAAAAATTTTAAATTACTTGTTTTCTGGTTTGATACTATACCATGTAATGTACTTATAACTTACTCAACACCAAGTTAATGAAATAAGTTAACTTGGTGGCTAACTTTATCAATATTAAAATATGAAAATCAATTTAACGGCGAGAATGGGAATAGATGGGACCAAAACAAAACGTTGGAATTTAATAATACTAGGAAAACTTTCAAACCATACCTAACTTAGGTTGGATATGTTAATATTTTACTTTATTCTTTTTATTCTATTATCTTCTAAATTATCTACTCATTTAATTGGATTAGCTAATCCACTCTTTCTAATAAATAGGAAGGAGTAGTTCCAGACTTGTTAAATTTAGATTTTCTAATAAAAGAAGTGTTTCCTTATAAAGGGTGGAGTATTTGATAGTCTAAGATAGAGTTCATAGAGTGTTTTTCAAAAAACTTTTTTACAAATAATTTTCCTGTGGACAAAAATGTTTGTTTTGAGTATTTTTATTTTGAGTATACAAGCAATTAGGGTTGTACATCGGTCGGTCGGGTCGGTTAATCCGACCATTGCACATATAATCGATAGACCAATTTGGTCGGTCGGTTTTCGCGAC